AAACAAACGTTGCTGTTAAAATAAATATATAATAACAATTATATATGCTATTATGTATGGATGGTGCAAATGCCATTCCTACATTTACTTCTTTTTTTCTTTACTTGTGCACATAGAGAATCAAACATCATAAATGTCATCAGGGATCGAAATATTACATTCCCGAGGAATTTAACTTTGCTTGAGGAATTTAATCTTTTGAGTTTGCTTTCCCGATCAGGAATGCATGGTCCATTCGTATTCCTTTAGTTATGACCAATGAAAGTGAACATATTGCGTTGATTAAATTTAAAAAAATTCATGAGGAAATATAACTCTACATAAAGGAATGTAATCTTCCTGATAGCTTTCCCTCGAGTGAATGTAATTTTATTTCATTATTTCTATCCCTGGTTATGTTAAACTTCAGAGAATTATTAGAGCCAACATTTTGTTTTACCAAATATATATATATATATATTCCTTCTGTTACTTTCGTTGTTTCTTCTGCTAAGGTTCATGTAATATGAGAGGTTTGAGTTTAAATCTTTTAAATTTTATACGTGGATTGGCCTTTGTAATTGAAAATTTGATAAAGAAAGACTCCACCATTAATCGTATTTCAAATAAATAAACATGAGAATAATGTAAGTTCAGTATTTCTTTTATAATTTCATATAATTTGTTGTACGTGTATGTAGAGTAAGATTTCAGCATTGTTATTGGCCTATAATTATGTTTATGCTCGTATTTTGAAATTCTGTACGTTATTTTTCACTTGACTGTGGTTTTTATAGATAAGCATGTACGTCGTGTTTAAATTACAGCTTTGTAGTCATATAAAATAATTTCGTAACCAATTAGTTTTATTTAATTTTTTAGTATATATATATATATATCCCTAATTAGAAATTTTGGAAATGCTACGAAACCTTTTAAAGGAAAATCTACAGCAAAAGCGTCAATGAATTGAACTTCTTTCGCATTATTCAAATCAAAATAAACTAACAATAATAGATTTAGAGTTCAGTTTGTGTAAAGTATTAAGTACTTAATCAGTAAAACAGAAGGGAACTTCTGGCTGCAGTTTTTGTACTTTTTATTTTACATATACCTGCGCAAATTAAAAGGTACCTTTGAAAATACATTTTGAATTAAAGCATTCTGTGCAGAAGTTAAATATTTGTATCATTGTTATGATTTTTATTTATTTAATTTCTGCGAAGAATTAGTCTCAGAGACTAATAAATGGTTTTGAATGATGTATTTTTACGCTTGAGATTAATAACTAAGAGTGAAATTTGAAAATATGTTACTTTTTAACATTTAAAAACAGTCAAATATAATTTTTCATGGAAATAATAAGTTAATTTTATTTTTAAAAGTCACGTCTGTCATTTTTCTTGACGTAAAAATAAAATCATTTCTTTCTAAATCTGTGTAAATTTTTGCTATAAATATTGCAACAATAAAAACCATTGATCACGTGACTTTCACCAGTTAGCTCAATGACTTTTGTGTCTATCAAGGCCGGATCAGATCAAAAGCCTTCACAGCTCAAACATCTATAATGACCAATTAAACTTGTTTTTTACATAAAAGGCACTACTTGACAGTTGCTGAAGTCAATACAGTAATTGGTCATGCTTCATGCACAGGTGGCGCTTTAAATTGCGCGTGAAATGCCATTAGGTGTCACGTGTATCATGCCAGCAGCAATAACATTATGGGAACTGTTGTTTGTATATTAACATATCTGGTGTTTACCACGTAACCTTTGTGTGCATACGTCTTTCAAAAGCTTATATAGTGCAATTTATAAAATTTAGTTATTATTTTGTATTTCTTGTTCTCCACCCATGTTTAAAGCATATTAGCAGTGGAAGTTATTGCTGTCTTTTGTTTTCCTGTCTTTGTTATGAGAATTATTTTTGTTTAAACACTAACAATCAACCCAAGATCATATTGCTTAATTTCATACATATATAATCTAGGATTTTCTTAGTACAAGCCGTTTGATTTTGTTTAAGATTGTTTTTGTATGTTTCTCTAAGACTAAATTGTAGACAATACTAATTTACGGCTGGAATTGATTTTGTCGTATGCTTTTTTAAAGTTTTGAGTAGATTGTAGAGGCACACACATTGCTATGAAATTTGTAAATTCCATCCCTGTCGACCGATTTATACAAATTAAAAATAACTCGCTTCGATATATTATTCATTAGGTATGTATATCAATATATATGAACCACGTGAAGAACTGTCACACAGGCGTTAACTTTTTTTCATCCTACATAGGGGCGTCGATCTACCCCGAATGTGTCTTACGTAACCTATAATATATTACATTGCAATTATGGTTTAATTATTTTGAATAGTAGTTGCTTTTTGGGGCCCAAGTCCTGAATATTTTCGATAGCTAGTGACACCCCTGTCTTTGTATAGTTTTAAGAGTGGTTATAATTTTCTGAAAACTAAGTCAAGGATATTGAAAGATACACAACTAAGAGCATAAGCATTGTTGAAATCTCTAATATAAATACAGTTGTTAAGACTCCTTCTCTACTATAAGATTACCTTTAAACCAATGTCTTCGTTTGCAGTTCATGATTTATTGCGTGGGCTTTTCTAATGTTTGTATTCATTACCTGTAAGAAATATATAGAAGTGCAAATACTCAAATAGCACAGCATAGACAACAGAAATTAAATAAAAGGTTCAAAACATGTATAGCTGTAAACAGAAAGTTCAACATTAAGCTTGACTTTTGCCGACCTTTCCGCTTGGTAGCCTGGTCAGAGGTCAAGTGTAATGAATTAATTGTATCGTGTTCATTCACAATTGTCCTACATTAAGATGCTTATAGTTCTAAAAGGTTAGATTTTAATGTATGCAGCTGCCACCGTGCATGAGTACAGGCACCAGAATTTCTAATATTTAACGGATGTTTTAACAGTGTCCATGGGAATGGAACAAGTATCACTCATATTTAAATAAAGATAACTTTCATCCTTTAGTTAGACACGAGTTAACAAAGTTCGTTTAAATACAAGCTGATGTTGTTCAAAAATGTAAGTTGCTATATGTTATACTTATTATTGTATTTTGTTTGTCTTTTTTACAAAAGGTACGACGAGACCTCTTGCTACTAATATATACCAGGTAAGTTTTTGGTTTTTCATAAATGGCAGTGATACCTGATTTTAGAAAGTTAAAATTGCAAATACATTTTAAATACTTTTTGTGAGTTCCTGATTTCAGAGAATAAAGATAAGCGTGTATGTGTAAATGAAAAAATAATACTGTGACATAGCTTTATTAGCATGTCATATTTTTAGGCTTAATATATATATAAAGAGGAAGTTACTAGGGCTATAGTTGAAACATTTTATAGTATTCACTATTTTAATATTAATAATGATTTGTGTTTGTAGCGTTTTTTTTTTATGTGAAAACCTAAGAAATCAGCTTTTATGCATTAAACAGTGTATATAACCATATGCACAGAACCACAAATTTATCTGTTTTTCAAATATTATTTTTAAAAAAATAATGACATTTT